ATGCATTAGAAGTAAAGAATGAAAATGTCAACATTTTTTAACTTACACAAATGTGGGCAAGTAACACTTTTAAGAAAAACGTTTCTTAAATTTAAATTTTTTTATCATTACACTATGTTTACATTCTGTCGTGCAGGCAGAGTTCCAATGAGAACGCGCGTAGTATCGAATTGACATTCTCTCCTATTTACGAAGAAATATAATACTTGTTGATGTTTTTCTTTTGATTATTCGAAACTAAAACAAAAGTTTAGTTATGGATTCATTGATAATTCTTGGGATTCTACAAGCGAAACAAAAAGAAGTTCATTGGAATTAACAGGGGCCCATTTATATTAACATTGAATTTTTCAAACTTTTTGCAGTCATTAATACACATATTAAATTGTGACGAAGTGATCACGATTTCACAAAACCTTCTAAAAATGAATTTTGTCACCTAGTAGATGCGGGATTTTTCCTCTTACCTTTGAGTTTGATAGTGAAATGAGCTTGTAGTTCTGATCGGGCTTTTATTTCAATGGTTTGTTTGTAGCGGTAATCCAGTAAAACATACTCGTGTTCACACGGTTTACCCTTGTTAATCTCTTCAAGCAGGTGCTGTATTTTCTTCAATATACCAAGCTCCTGGTTTGTTTTGGCAATTTTCTCTTTCGTCTGCATCAACCTCATTTTGAGGGTCAAACTTTTACTGCTTACAACTTTGTACAGAGAATTAATGTTGGATTGGGCAGTTAGAACTTCGTCATAGCCAAAAACATTTGCTTCGAAAGAGAAGACTTTGAAAAGCAAAACCAAAAAGAACAATTGATCCTTTTTTACTAGACGCATTTTGAGATGAAAGCGAAACTTCCTAAGAACAATCGTTTCCTTCGCAGTTATCTAGAAATAAAATTTGTATGAATCTCTTTTCCGTTGGAAGATTAGATTGGTATGGTCGAACTATAATTAGCTCTACGATTCAAGATATCATTGAAATACGTGTTCTTACACGTTATTTCTTGGCTGGAAAGAAAAGCGGAAAATGCATTGCATTCATCATTATGAATTTCCCTTCTAGAAAACAATGAACAGAATCAATTATCAACTTTCGCTTATTTGTCGATACTATGTTTAAAAAACCTCCTAATAGGTTCATAACTTGAAAAAAGAAACATAAAATTCCGCTGTGTAAATATTTCTGGTCTTTAAAAAGATCAGGAACTGATATGCTCGAATGTCATAAGGATTGATGTTGTCATTATAGTCTGTAATGTTTCTTTCGTTAGTCTTGTATTTTCAAAAACAAATTGAAAATTAATACTTTTATAGCGAATTCTCTTATCTAAAAAACCGTTAGCCGCCGCTAAGAAAACGATCAAATGTAACCGCTAATTTTCGATTTTTTTATTTATTAAGGTATCTCGTGCAGAAATGCGAGCATAAAATACTATACATTAAATGCGCCGTAATAACCGCGTAGTAAAATCGTCCATTTTTCGACACAAAAATGAGGGCAAAACCAAAAATCGACCTCTGAAATCAGCAGAAACCGTGAAATAAACCGCAAAACTATAATAGGCCTTTGTACTACACTTCGAATCATTTGTCTTGTTGATATCAGGTCTAATTGCCTTAATTCACGTGTCATATAACCTTTGTCTATATACAGGTAGGATAAAAAAGAAAGTAAAGTTAAATTTTACGACAAGACCCTTATACATGAAGTAGTTGAAGTTCTAAAAAAATGGTATGAATTATCCCTGAACTACATAGTCACAGAAAACTGGAAAAGTTAAAGTGAAGTCCTGCAGTTGTTTTCACAATGATTTTTGGGTCCGTAAGGTAAACGCTTTCAACAATGGAAATTTTGAGCTTCAGCAGGTCGGCGTTGCCATAGCAATATTTTGGTTGAAAAATAATTAAAATGAAATGATCAACTCCTAAATGTTAGAAAACAGCACCAGCTACGAACAATAATAGTTCGAATGAATCATATCATAAAACAAGTTTCCTATGTACACTAGTAAGATTGTGTTTTTTTATATATATTTGTTAGTATATGTTCATCTTTGATATCATGTTTACTTTACATGTATCAGAGCCAAGAAGGCTAATTTGCATCTATGTATAGATATATTATGAATATACACAAGGGCGGATCCAGCTGAAATTTTAAGGGGGGGCTAAATGGTTTTAGGTGTCTAAATGGGCTTTATTTGTTATAAACAACATTGAAAATAATAAAAATCAATTTACTTTTTCTGCTCAGAGGAGGGCTACAGCCCCCATTTGCCCCTCCCTGGATCCGCCCTTGATACACCTACTTGCAGAAACGTTGTCATAGAAAATAGAACATTCGAATTTAGTAAAAAGGAATAAATTAAAACAAGACAAAAGAAAGCGTTCAGCCTCAGTGATCTTCTTTTTTCTTTTCAATTTATTCCTTTTACTAAAATACAAATGTCCTATTTTTTATGACAACGTTTTCGCACTGGCTAAAATACAATAGATTATATTATTTACATAAGTTTTATATTTTATCGCTTTCCTCTCTCTGT